ACTAAACATCCTACAGTACTTTTACAGTCTTTATTTTACAGTTAAAATGCATGTTCATCAAATAAAGTCTAATGTTACAACTAATCAGGGATCCCTTTAGCAAATGATAGAATGACTTTAAAAAGGAAACATTTACAAAGATGTATCAGTTTTTATATTTTATTTTGTCATCTTATTCCCATAAAGTTTCATTATTTTTTTTTTGACTTTGCAAATCAAAGACCACGTTTCAGAACAATGACAAACATTCCCTGAAAGAAGAGACTGCTTTTTTGGTCATTCCTTCCTGATATTTCTAGGTCTTAGCAGCAAATAAGATGATGAAAGGACTTTTGAAGAGGAGAGATGTTTGAACCTGCATGTTCTTTTCAGTGTCCCAGTGGGAAGTATATATAAGCAGGCAGGTTATGTATTATTAAGAGTCAAACCTGACTTTGTGTTTGATCAGGATTTGATTAAGAAGAGCTGTGACTGGTTCTGTGTAAAAAGATGAATGTCTGCTCACAAATGAAGGTGAACTTCTGACCTACACACAGAAGTCCGTCTTTAATTTTACACACTAGATGCAAAGAGATTGGAATGGACTGAATTCCTCCAYATCAGAATACACTGATGGGATATGCATTACTTTCTAGTTAAAGAGGTGTTTAAAGCGTTGTGATACCAGAGCATGTTAGCACTGGTTGTTAGAACCACAGGGACCGCTGTTTGAATCAAACCCTAATTAAAATAGAAATATTAAGCAGTGTGTCTGTCTATTCAGCAAACGAGCCATGGATAAAATACTCCTCAAGTCATTAGCAGCTGATTTGTAGCTAAAACATCTTGTATCAGTCATATAATCATGTGGTTATGGTGTAGTTTTTCTCTTGAAAACCTGAATTTACCTAAATTTTATGTTTCTAGATTTTCAATTGATGTTTATTTGTTCTTGTTGTCAAAGTGTGTTTTATTGGACAAAGCATAGATGACAACCAAACTGAGAGGCTAACCTGATGACTTTTTCTGTTTTTTTTTTTTATTATTTTTGTTACACAAACCTCACTACACTTCTGAATATTGATAGTTAGGTACTGTTACAYATACAGTGTTTTAATAAAAAATAAACATAAGAAAATCTTTTAAAGTTGGGGTATAGTGCTAAATAGGTTATTTTTTAAACTTTATRTCATGTCCTGCATCAAAAACATACCCATAATGTTGCTTTGACTCATTCATGCATGTTTGAGAAATCTGTTTGAATCTCCTGTGGTTGTCATTTAGAGCTACCTATATGCTTGCTGGTACGAAATATTGTCTATTTACACAATGCTCCACCCTGAAGCTTAGCCTCCAGCTGAGCACCCGTCCCCCGAAGCATTGTTGTGAAGGTGTGCTGAAGTGGGAGTGTCAGAAATGGTAAGAGATTCTTAAAGAGACAAAGGTCAGTTTCTTGGTGTTTAGATGATGCAAAGTCAATTTTATTTTTGATATAAGCAGCATTTTCATAMCARCTGAAGGTAACAGTTACTTGAYAGTGGTATAGAAATGAAGTAWGTGCCTGGAAAATACAGTTTTGTATTTATTATCTTTTCTTTACAGTGACCCAAAGATCAACAGTAAGTCACAAATAAGTTCTACAGATGAATAAATGCTGCAGTATAGGTTTTGAATCACAAGTTTCCACAAAAACAGGCAGGTTAACTTTTACRTTGATTCAGATCCACTCAAATTAAATATTGTCCTGAGCTGATACAGTCTGTAAAGTCGGACAAGTGCTTCCAAAAGTTGCTGTGTTTCCACCCAACCCACCTTCTTCTTTTCAAAGCTCGGCTCTACTGTTGAGATAATCCCTCATCGTGACACATAATGCAAAAAAGAAAAAAAAAGAAAAAATGAGAGTAAAATGCTGCTTAGAAAAACTTAGAAATGACAAGACTATGTTGACAAACCTTCAAACTCAGTTTCAGAGTTATTGATTCTCACTTTATGTCTATGTTACACAACGTGCTGAGCTTCTCTCTTTAATGAAACTGAATGTTTCTATGACCATGAGGATCTGGGTGGAAGAAAAAAAACATTTTTTTTTCTCTTTGATATATTTTTAAGGGTAGATGGATGGATCGATAGAAAATTCTTCTTGCTTATCCAAAATACTGTATGTGCAGATGCCAATGAGGCCTGTTGCTAAGGGCAACCCATCAGAGCCCCTGATGAACAGACGCCCCGTTAGTCTGTCCAGAGGCTCAGATGTCACCATGCCAACAAGCAGGTGTCCTTGGTGCCAGTGGGCACGAGAACGCCGTGACATCTTGTGCTGAGCGTGAATGGGCAGAGCAGATACTGAACTGAACTGGGAGAACAAAAGCAAAGAAAGTAGCACATGTTTTTATGACATCACGTCTTCATGAGCTGCAGAGGTTTAATTATATTTTAGCTAACC